GGGAATTGTTTCCTGACTCGAATCAACTTATATTGATGGTAATCAGTTATACGATGAAGTTCCTACCTATATGCCGCGATTAAACAAATTTATTTTCAATATACACACTCACATTATTAATAGTTGTATTGGAATTGATCTTCCATCGAATAATGACGTTCGGAATAGTTTCTTTAACAGAGGATTTCAATCAATTGGCACATGTACTGATGAAAAAAGACTTATAAATAATATTGACAACTGTCATCTTTATTCTCTTCCATATCAATTCTTCGAATTCTTATTCATGAGTAGTTGTTTTCAAGGTGGTAAATTCGATAAACTTCGAATGTTATTAATGCATGATAGGCATCCATTTGAACATGAATTATTCAAAATTATCTCTCAACACTTTCCTTCTCTTTAAAAATTAATCATATGAAATACTCAATCACAAAAAATAAGCAACATCATTCGTCGACAACTCCATCTTATGTATGCACACAGTGACTATGTTATGCAGTTTCTTTCTAACAGAATCACTCGTTTACCTTGTTTGACAATTCTCGAAATTAGATATGAAACATTAAAATCTGTGACAAATAATTTTTCTAATGATGCAACACGTGCCATTTGTACTAAAATAAAATCTGGAATTACAAGTGACACATTTGTTCGTTTAGAAAACTTTGATTTATATTTAGCATCTCAGTAAATATTAGTCTTACATAAATCATTTAAATAAAAAGAAACCCGATCAAAAAGTTAAAATATGTTTCAATCGTGATAAGTAACAAATTACTGCATCAGTTATCGATTGTACTCTCTATATTTTATGGATACAATAACACTGGATGAAATCATCATATGAAAATAAAAGAAATAGAATTAAAATAATTGACTCTGTTCTACGATAGTTTTTATATTATTGAGAAGAAGATTTTAAAGCAGATATTAAATCTTTGACGGGGCATATTACAAGATAATGAACGAAGAAGTTCATTGTATAGATTTATAGTAATCAGTCTATTCTGAACTATGCACAATTTAGTAAACATCTCAAATATAGGTCTCAATTTCGTTAGGAGAAACGATATGAATATATAAGATAAGTTCATATGAAAAATGATGAGTTGTCTAGTACTGTCTGCAACAATGGTACTGAAATTCTTAATCTTTTCAAACAGTTTCTTTTTCTGGTCGTATTACTTTATTAAATAAACTTTTGCTGTTTAAAAAATCCAAGTTAAAATAAACAGTTAGAGCGTTCTTCAGAACAGAACTGACAGAAATAATTTTTTTCTCAATGATCGGAGATATTCAGAAAGAAATTATCTTTGTTTAAATAGCACGACCACTCACTTATTATTAAGAGAATATCCCAGGGATGTACCGATGGGGGAAATGTGGAGTCATGACCCCCGCTACTCTTGGAAAAATTTCGTTTTTTTTATCCGAAAAATGATCTTACAATGGAAAAAAGATTTTGCGTCTTCACACTTCTAAAAAATTGTATATGCACCTTACCTATTCTCAGGAAATTTCTTTTGGATCTCCCCACGTTTTTCTGTTCGGTACATCTCTAGAGTGTCCATGACGGAACTAAAAAGCCGAGGCACTCGTCAAAATTTGGTATAATTGTTTATGGATAATCGAAAGAATATCATTTACATGTATATTTTGCCACTAATTAAATCTCTACATAGAGTATTGATTATGGTACATCAGTGCAAAGTAATCAATTAAAATATGATCACTGATCAGAAATTTATATTTAATCATAATATACTACGAATTTATTTTATCATCATTAGTACATTTAGTATAAGACTTGAACTCATTTTTGAATGAAACATTCACAAATCGGTGATGTGTTTTTTTTTACAAAATTTTTAGTATTATAATAAAAATTACTATTGAATAGTTAAAAATTAGAAGAAAAGTTATTTATTCTTGCCATTTTAATTAAATACATCTAAATGATTGTCTATTACTAACCGTTTAGCTATTTTTTTCAAATTCAATTCGACGACAGTGTTCTTCTTGGTATAAATTTAATATAGTTTTAAATCATAAGATAAAAAAATAAATAAACTTACTAATAATTCAAAGAAAAACCAACTATAACCAAAAGCAAAATCTCATGTTGTATATGATGAAACAACCAATCGAAATAATAATTCTTTCTGTAAAGTAAAGGCTAAAATAAAATGTTTCATTTTTTTTTCTCCGCAATATAAAGCGTTAGTTTAAATGCAATAATCTCATTTTCTTACAAGCTATTTCCTCACTTACACTTTAAATATTCACTGACGGTGGAAATATTTTTACAATTAAATTATTTGTTTACTTTTCGTTGTTGGAAGATTTCTGTTGAATAACCTATCTTTGACAACACCTTGAGATGTTTCACCCATTGGCTTTTCAAATGAAGTAACTAAAATTAATAAAGTAAAGAAAATAGGTGGTAAAATGGAAATAAGCTTGTTGAAATAAGACCACCATTGGCTGAAAGAGCCATTTCATCTTCCGATGATAATGATAGACTTGGTAAATCAGGATTTGATCTACTTCATAGCACATAACGTTGAAAATAAATTGAGCTGAGTGGTGTATATAATCTACATTGATAATGAATATAAGCTTAAACGTAAATGATTTCTTCCATGTGTATCAATAAGACCAGCAAGAAGATCACGTTGAACTATTTTTGTTAAGGTTTCAAAACATGTCTGATTAACATTCACTAAATAAAAATTTTATTTATATTTATTTGATAAAATAAATATCTACAAATATGTCTATTGACAATTGGTGGTCGAACTAATAATGAAAGTGTATTAAGAAGAATAAAAAGAAATTGAACAAGTTTTTCAGCTTGTGCCCAAAACAGAATCCATAATTGATTGTTTAAAATCTTTGTTATTTATTTCATAATGAGAATGATGATTTATGACTATCGACCCATTTAACATTATTCACATTATGATGCTAAATATTAAAATTATTCAAATAACATTTTAAACAAACAATGAATCATTCTAGTCCATTTCATTCAAAACAAGATTTAGGGAAAAAAGCTCTACAATTTATTGTAAAAAGATAATTTTATATATGTGCCATTTTGAATTCATCGTCTAGATGAACGTTTTTATGTTGCAACTCAATGGATGAGGGTGTGAGTACAGTTGAAGAAAAGGCCATACCAACGTCCACATCTTCATCTATACCTCACAGTCACACTCTTGATAGCACACAAGCTTACAGAAATCGATGGATGCTCAACGAGAATATTGAATATCGTAACTGGGCGATTAAATATCTGTTAGTTTTTCCAACAATAAGAGAAGACTGACCTGAAAAACGAAGTTGCAAGTTTTATAGAGTTCAGAATCAGCTGTCTATAAAGCATAGAATGAAACATCTAGACTATGCTTGTGAATTTCAAAAAAAGAAAATAAAGGTGCCTCGATCTTTATCCAAATACTCATTACATCATGAAATCACATTCGTTCTTCTTAAGAACAATTCAGAATATTGAAATAGGGATCAGTTATTGAAAAACTAGACACTTTAATGTACTTTAGAAAACATCAATAGTTTACAGATGTTTTATAATCAAGATTTTAGCAAACTATTCTAGTGTATCATTTCTTGACACACACAATCTATCAATATCAGAACGTGAAACGGAACATCAACGAAAAACACGGTTTCAACTCGACGAAAACTATTACTCGAGGCAGAGCGAAGAGTGAAAATCGTTGCCGTTTCGATTTCTGAAGGTGAATCAGATTGCGTCATTGAATACTTGTGGACATCGCATAGCTGATGCTTCTATAGCTGATTCAATATGTCTATTTAACATAGAGAGTGTCTCATAGATTCTGTGCATCAACAAAAATTAGTTCATATATAAACAAAGGGGGAACCCTATCCAACTATATCTGTATGAGCTTCGAGTATTTAGGACGACGTTTTAAATGACATATCATCCACGGTTATTATCTCTTTTAATAATAGTGATATCAATATAAGAAACATAATAATTAAGATCTCGAAATAGACCAGTATTATTTTCAATGATTAAAAACAAAACATATTTTACTTAATTATCATGAATTTGTTTTCCATTACTAATAATTACTCTACAATCGGCTGTGTTCATACCTTTATTATCGACATAAGCTTGTATTGAAATGCTGAGTGAAGGTACTTTATGAGGACGGCGGTGATTTTTCGTGACAAATTGTTTAATATTTTTACAGGCGTTTACACAATGACAAGTGACAATGATTCTATGTAGTGAATTCATCTTCAGGCTCATTTAAATTTTGAAATATGCTTCCATCATAACAGTTGATAATTTTGATAAAATAACATGGTCATCAGAACTCTATAGTTTCTATTTGAGACTAATTTTCAACATAAACTTTGCATACATTTTGATTTAGAGAAAATCAATGTATTGATACAAAATTCTTATGAATTCTAGTCAACCTAAAAATATTACAGCATTTACCACAGTTCACAAAGATCCAACAAATCCACCAGATTGTACCAGATTATAAAAGGATCTTCATTGATACTTAGCAATCTTGTAAAACTAAGAATTCATGAAAGCAAATTGCACTAGAAAAGAAGTATTAATACTTCCTACTACTTACGTTAAAGATATAGAGTCGAAATGTTCTCAGAGAGAAAAAGCGCTTCCTGTAATCTGGCAAAGTCCAATAAATTCAAAGGGATATCAATGAATTCATTATCGTATCTGTTGAAATTCCACAAATCTTGATACGCTTGGTTTTCAATTTTCATTTTGAAGAAAGAAATAGGACTTATTTGATTAGCATAAAACTTAAATGTCAAGGTAAGTAACCTAACAAGGAAACAAATAGAGTCAAATCTAGATGATAAAATAAAAACAAATTATGAAAATCGATTCAAGGTTTCAAAAAAATCTGTTTACTGGACGAAAGCACAAAACAAACATAATAATAACTTATGCAAAGAAACTTGTACTCTCCTGTGAGTCTCTCAGTATGCAACAGATTTAGCAGTCAAAATCCTTAAAAACAGACGTATGCAAGAACCGTCATCGTAAGTCTCTTCAAGTGAAACATAAATAAGTTATCAGCTATCTTTGATATTGTATTTGTACCTGAAAAGTTTAAGCAAGAATCATACTTTACAGTTCTATTTTGAAGTTAAATAATTAATATTTTGCCTATTTTTCCGGCATCAACAATGCTTCTCGATGTTTTCTGATTGTATTTAGATTTTAAAAAAATATTTTTTTTAGTCGAAATGAAAATGTGTACTTAGAGTACATTTGGTTATTTGGCTTAAAAAATTGAAATAATTCAGTAAAAAGTGAAATATAATTTTTATTTTTCAAATTTAAATGAATAAATCAACATATCTTATATATCTAATGAAAATGATTATCTATATGAATTATGTTACAGATTAAATAGTTCAAAGGTCAAATCCTATTTACTATCTGATAATAATAGAAATAAAACACATTACTTGATGATGACACACAATGACAAAAATAAATGATGAGGAATTTTAGGCCCAATGAAATAAATCTCGATTCGATTTATACATGCGTGTATTTTTGTCTGATTGGTATATGACAAAATCGTTCAGGTTTTACTTCAGTCTCGATTTCATCCAAATCAGTTTCTTTTGATTTTGAGATATCACCAGAAGATAATTCCCTGATATATCTACATTGCTACTTGTATCAAAAAAGTTTTCTTATTTCTTAGCGGCTGACAGAATGCGTTCCATAAAATTGGAGGGTGTGAGTGGCGTTGGTATCAGTGTGGGCGCGAGACTCTTTTTCAACTACACCCATACCCTCAATATGTCTGCTGTAGCTAAAGTGAAATAGATAAAATTTTACTAGTAATAGATCTAGCCCATCTCTATTTACGATAAAAATTTCAAATTACTTGCTTCTATTACTAAGGAATTACGGATGTTGCAAAGTTAAAAAATAAAAATTTCGTAACGTCTGACCACGCCCTAATGTCAATTCCTAATGTGAAATAAGCTGTGAGTGTAAATATGAAAATTTCATCTTTACAAGAACATCCATACCATCCATTATATTCTACATTATTCTTTATAATGTGTGGATGTGTCGTTGAAGAGAATATCCTACCCTGCAGAACCACATCCAAATGGACTCTTATACTCTCATCCTTGATCATGTGAAATCATTTTAGACTTTTATGATTATTTTCGATTTTTAGTTGAACATTGGACAATGGTTTATATATATATATATATCATAAATAAAAACAGAAAAGAAATTATTAATGTGCATGC